GCAGGGGGATCACTTGAGCACAAGTGTTTGAGGTCAGCCTGGCCAATATAACAAGAACTTGTCTCTGTTAAAGAAAAAAAAAAATCCAATTTTCCTAGAAAAATGTAAACTTGATATATTCTGGTTTGATACAGTTTGTGTATAACAAGGGAGAAAAAAAGGAAAACAGTCTATATTTTACCTCTCTAGTAGACAGTATGAGGAGGGGAAAAAAAATCAAAATAATTTCCCAATCTTGACTTTTCATTTACTCTAACCAATCTTGTTTTCTGTCCAGGCTGGCCTTTTCTCTGGGCGATCCTCCTACCGCAGCCTCTCAAATGCTGGAATTACAAGAGTGGGTCACCACACCTAGATCTCTGATTAATTTTAAGGATTTAATTTCTAGCATACAGCTACTGGTCAGTAGTACTCTTTCAGAGAGATTCCCAGACTAATCCCATCAATCACTCATCCCAAATTTCTTTTTTTTCCTCCAGATTTCTAATTCATTTTTTCCTAATTCTGCAACTACTCCAAAATTTTCTGCATATGTAAGTTAAAACATTCTTACACACTAAAATTTGAATTTATAAATATTCTAAAATTAGAAATATTCTCTGGGATGAACCAATGCCATGTTTATTTTCTCATCCTCCCAAAATTAAAAGAAAGTAAAAATAACTGAGATACATACATGCCTACAAAGGGCTTACTGGTTAGCAGGGACTAAACGGACATGTACATAAGTAATTATATGGCAAAGATAAATCATCAAGAATTTTCAGAACAGCCAAGCATGGTGGCATATGTCTGTAATCCCAGCACTCAGGAGGCTGAGGCAGGAGGATCCTTGCAAGTTCGAGGCCTGCCTGGGCTACAAAGTGAGTTGAAGGCCAGCCTGAACTACATAGCCAAATCCTGTCTCAAAAGACAAAAAAAAAAAAAGAATTTACAGAACAAAAATGCATGCTTTAGAGAGGAGAAAATGAGAAGAGATTTTCTGGATGAAGTGATACGTGATCAAACCTTTCAAAACTGGCAGAATTCATTTGAGGTAGAGTTTGGACAAGTAAGATAGAAAAGAACACTCTAGAAAAAAGCATAGTGAAAGAAAAACAACTGAACACAACACAAAATAGGTATATTACTTAATAGCCTAAATGAACATGCCTAAGTATTCATGTAAAGATTAGTTTAAAGAAAGTAATATGCCTTTTCTCTTAAATTTTATAGCACGAGTATTGTTAGAAAACTAGTACAGTACTACATGACTGGAGATGGACTGCAGGTGTAGTCCCAGTAAAGCACTTGCTCAGCATGCCTACAACCCAGGTTTATAATCCCTCGCAGAAAAAAAACTAGTAATAAAAATGAGCTTTTCAATATAGCATTAAAAGTTTAGATCATGTCCATACTATTTATCTAAGCTTTTATGTAACAACTGAAGTCTCTCATACTTTAAAAAAAATATCCAGAAATCAGTTTAACCTACTTGTTTACATGACAGAAGCTTCTAATGCTTGACATAATAAAATTTCTATCACTGTGAAGCTTAAATTACATGAAGTGAGCCAACACATTCAGGACCCTCTTCCTGTCTGTCAGGAGCTATTTCCTCTTCTCCATTCCTTTTCTCCAATAAATTTTCTGAGTCTTAAAACAACAACAACAACAAAGTTTACAGTAAGTGTCACTAAATTCAGACAACTTCGAAGACTTTTTTGTTTAAGAAAACAGTCATGCCTAGCCTGGTCATACAGGCCTATAATGTCAGCACTATGGAAGACTAAATTCAAGCTCAGCCTAGACAATCTAGCAACTTAGTAACCCTGTCTCAGAAATTTTTAAAAAGGCTGGAGATGTCCTTCAGTGGAAAAGACTGGGTTCAATCCCCAGTACTACCAAAAAAAATTATTTTTTTAAAGTAAATTAAGTATTAGGCAAAAATTCCAAGTGACCACATTACTAATGTAGATCAATGCCATTTTCAAACTGTATTTTCATGCAGAAATTTAATATTATTATTTTACATTCAATACACAAGATGAATATCCATGGTGCGCTCTCATTCTCCATCCACCCCCAATTTCTGTTCTAAGTATCAATCATCACATTGAATCATGCCACATGTGGAACAGTATAATAGAATGAGCACTATACTGGATGTCAGAGACTTGGCTTCTTCTACTGCCCAACTGCAGCAACTTAGACAGACCACTCTCAGTTTATTCAGCCCCTCAGTTTATGCAAAAGTAAAACAAGACTTAACCGGTCTGACTACATTCCATGGTTCTATAAATTATTAACATTGTATTTCAGTCAATTAAGTTTGGTTTGGAGATGGCTACTAAATAAAAATAGCAGCAGCACACATGGAAGAATTAAATTATCTGAAGAATGCCACAGGAACTCTCAGTTTTGTAAGAAGTCAAGCTTTCAAATGCAAAGGTGGGGTGAGTTGGGTATCTCGAAGACTATCCAAGTAACATTTTGACCACACAAGCTCCTAGGGTGGCAAAAATGGTAGAAGAAAAGCAAAAATGTTCAAGAAAAACACTACCATAAAATAGCAAAATAAAAAACAGATGCTCCATGCAGTTACTGAAAGCTTTTCATAAAGTTTGTCAATATTTCTAAGAAGTTCTGACAGGGAAATGTTCTCCTAACTATCAAAATTGCCTTTGGTATCCTCAAGCCTGAAAATGACAAAGTATCAGGCAATCTAAGGACTGAGGTATTTGTGCATATAATCGACCTCAAATCATGCTTCTTGCCTTTACAGTGTTTAGTATTGTACCCTGAATATAACAGGCATCTGGTATTCAAAGTGAATGACTGAAAACACATGAAGCTCTAATCTATATACATAATACATTCTGATTAACCTTTACTACTTGCTTTGTATTACATTCTAGTAAAATCCAGTACATGAAGTAAAATAGATGGGGCCAAGCACTGTGCTATGAACAAGTAGTCCTAACTACCCAAGAGGCTGAGGCAAGAGGACTGACCAGCTTGAACCCAGGAGTACAAGGCCCACCTGGGAAACTGCAAAATCTCATAAATAAATATATGCATACATGCATACAGCTGGAAATAACTAAATATGTGACAGTGCTATCATCTTCAGACATTAAGAATTTGAAGAGGGCTGGGAATTTAGCTCAGGGGCACAGCACCTGCCTGGCAAGCGTGAGGTCCTGAGTTTGATTTCCGGTACCAGAAAAAAAAAAACAAAAAACAAAAACAAAAAAAACAAACTAGAGTTTAAGAGAAAAAAAAAAAAGAATTTGAAATTACCACTAAGATAAATCACAAAATGCAATTAGACTGAATAATAAAATCAAACGCACAACACTGAGTAACAGCTTAAAATTCACCTACATCAATTCCATCTCTATCCAAAGGCCTTTGCTTTCTACAGTGGCAAAAAAAATACTTTCACAATTTTTTTAAATGCTTTAGATATCTGAATAATCTAAACTTACCTAGCTGTGTACAAATTTTTACTTAATTAAATACAAAGAAACAATTTCTGGCATTTTGACCCTCCCTCCTTTTTTTAATTACAAGGACAGTTTACAATTACAAACAAGTTTTACTGTATTTTTTAAAATCCAACAAGGAATTGTTAAAATTTTGTATTCCTCCAGAGGCCATGGAGAGCACCACAGCTATATAGATAACAGGTATATTCTGGTTTTTTTTGTTGTTTTTTGTTTTTTTGAGACAGGGTCTCGCTATGCAGTTCAGGCTGGTGTTGAGCTCACTTTGTAGCCCAGGCTGGTGTCGAACTCGCAACAATCCTCCTGCCTCAGCCTCCCAAGTGCTGGGATGACAGGCATGCACCACCATGCCCGGCAACAGGTATATTCTGATACACTGTAACATGAATACATTTTTCTAACTATATCCCCCGTATTTATTTGTTCAACAAAAATTTGCAGTGGCAATATACTACACACACACAGACATACACTACTTGGTGCCTTAAACATAAAGATAACATCGGAGAAGGGCATATCCTGCTTTCCAGAAGAGATAAACAGGTACATAAATACCTACAACACAAGGCAAAAAGTGTAACCACCAATGAGAGATTCAAGATAAAGCACTACTGGATCAGAGAGAGCTGTTACCACCTCATAGAAACGACACTTTCAATCTATTTAAAGCAATTTCCTATTAACTCCCTTTAGACTCCTAACAGCCAATCCTAGAAGAGCAAATGTTTTCCTAATATTACAGATGAGGAAACTGGAACACAGAAAGGGTTGATTATGCTCCAAAATGTCAGTTACAGGAAGAATGAGAACTGAGTATATTACATTTTCTCTGGGGTTGTTGTTCAACATATGGCAAGCTTTTGTAAAAGAATATTTTGGTATTGCAAGGAATGACTTCTGGTGTGTGACTGATATATGTATGCTGATGTTCATTAACTGATGTGTTTAAAGCAAGGCAAAGCAACTGGGAACTTTAAATAATAAAATAAACTCTCACTGGATTTTAATAGAATGAAAAAACAAAACCTCTCTCTAGCAATCTGCGGTTTTCTGTAAATTTTACCAGTGTCTACTTCAGATTCTAAAATGAACCTCATCCTGAGCCCAGGCAAGTACAAATTGTTTCACCTAGTAAGTATTTTTATGGAGAGGTCCATCAAAACACTTCAAAAAATCTATTAAAAATTAAACACAGCAATGCCATCAATTCTTCAGTTATTCACAATCACGTGTGACCCAGAATCATCAGCAGCTATTGATCAAAATATCGCTAAACAAATGAATGAATATGTATAGGCATTTTAAAATCCCAGGCCTTGCCGAATGCAGTGGCTTACGCCTGTAATCCCAGCACTCAGGGGGCTGAGGCAGGAGGATCTTTGGGAGTTCGAGACCAGCCTGTACTACAAAGTGAGTTCAACACCAACCTGAATTGCATAGTGAGACCCTGTCTCAAAAAGCGCCCCCGACCCCCCCAAAAAATCCCAGGCTTCTTGCTCTTTGCACACTGCCATGTTCAGCTTCCGATCACTGCCTCACCCGGGTGCACACAAGGAATGTAAATTTCGATATAATTACGATATAACCAGGCAAGCAAATCTGATGCAGGTGAATACACTAACCCCCAATATTAAAATTACTCATACCACTACTCTCCAAGGTTAACTCTGCTGAAGAGACACTATACCATGCAACCCTGACATTTCCCGAGCACATACTTTTCCTAAATACCAGTTATTCTCATCCATCCCTCTAACATATGACTACTGGTCCAGTTAATTTAATGAATTTGCTGTCTTCTCCGTTAAGGCTTTTTTTGTAATTTTCTAAGATCCCTCTACGACCCTAAACGAGGCGCATTCTCCCGCCTCGCCCGTGAAGACACCAGTAACGAACGGCGGGAGGTGGACGGTTCGGATCTCCGCTCACCACTGCCCGCTTCGCCATTATCACATCTGGAAGTGGCCCGGTTAGAAAGGTGACTAGTTTGCTCCTCGCACACTCGCTCGTCGCTGTCACCCTCCGCAGCCCTTGCCCGCTCCCCAGACGGCCACCAACTCCGCGGCGGAGCGGCTCCAGGCCCGTACGCCCGCCCCCGCCCCAGGACCCTCGGCCGCCCCGCCCGGCCGCAGCCGTTCTTCCTCCCAACCCCAGACGCCTCCTCGCGTCCGCCGAGCTCC